AAAAGCATGTTGTTGAAGAAACGAATCCATTTGATTCACCCAACAAAACAAAACACAAATTTGGATTCTGATTCTCTTTACAATAAGGTATCATATGCCTATATATACTCTGAATGCGATCGCATAGTTTTGTTTCCACTGAAAATCCAAACCTTATTCTAATAATACGATTAATCTATGCAATACATAATATAGCATGCAGTGATTTCAGGTCTCCTTACATGCAATAACTAGGTTCCACAATGAACAAGGTTTATGTGTGTTTGATCAGTTAACAAGCTAACTCAAGAACACTATCCTGATCATAAATACAGTTTTCTCAGGTAGACAGACTTGTAATTCAACACATTACCAACAGAACAATCTTAAACCCTAGAGATATATTTCAAGTCATTCATAATTGGGTAAACCTAAAGATAATTTTCGATGAGTTGGTATGTTATATTCCAGCCAAAATAACAATTGGGTAAACCTAAAGTTAATTTTTGATGAACTGGTACTTCATATTCCAACCAAAAAATCTATGCATGCGCTTGGAAGGGAAAGACTAGTGCATTGGTTATCTAGAAATGAGATACATTTGCCTGCTTTAATACCAAAAATATCTGATTCCTAAACAGAAACTTGAAAGAAAACCAAGAATACTGCCGAGTCTACTATTGAGTCTGCACAGCTCAAGAACAAGAACTCACAGCTGCCACAGCACAAACAGGTGCAGGTGCATTGTACTCACCTGAAGCCTAAAGGAGCAGACGATGACTTATCAAGATTAGATCTTAGTTTACATAATTACAGCCGTAATTGTAATGGTGGTTATAACAAACACAAGTGTGATTCATTCAATAACAAATAGACTTCACTATAGTAGAGTGCAAGAATCGACAACTCTAATTGCCTAGTTCCATAGTCAAATGATGCAATATCCTGAAGTTCATCCTAGCTAGCTAAACATTAATATGGAATGAAATTCATACAACTGTCTACGATAACTACCGAATACACTGAAAGGGAACGTAAATTTTCACCTAGGACTGATGATCGTCCTGTGTTCATGATAAACAGTCCCACAACTTAGGCAACTGTAATGTTTCTCAACTGAGACATAACAAAGCCAGATAATCTTTCCTTAACAAGAAGCGGAAATGACAACACCAAGTTCATAACTTATCAGCATTTTGTCTACAAATGGTATCAATACCTTATTAACAACAAAGCTAGCCTATCCATTGCATTACATCTACTCAACAAAGCTAGCCTATCCATTTTGCAAGGCAATTAACATCTTAGAACCACAGTGACAAAAATGTAACAACCAATATATGCATACAATACAGACTTAAAAACAAGGAGCTACAAGAAAGTATAAGTATCATCATCACAAGAATTCTTTATCTGTGACTTGACAAGCCACCAAGATTTAAAAAAAAAAAAAAAAAACACAAACGAGAAAAAAAGAAAAGAGTAATAATAAAAAAACTCATCCTGCTTAAGACTAACATTTGAAACTTAATGGAAGGAGTCTCTTACTCAACATTTGATCGGTTATTTTCTCAGTATTTGAAAAAGAGCAAGCAGTTGCAACAAATCACCACAATAAAAGGAGTATTCTCTCTGATCAGAGAAATTTAAGCTGTGGACATTGCGGAAGGTCTAACCACATCAATTTCAATCCCCTAAAGGAAAAGTCCAAGAACGGTACATGCTTAAGTTTTACTTTAACTTTTGAAATATTTTATGGGTTCACACACACCCCCAGCTGAAATTCACATAATAATTTTAAAAAAAATAGAATAAAATTGAAGGAAAACAAATGAATTGCAAACACAAGGACAAAAAAGAAACTGAAAGGAAAAAAGTTATGAGAAAGGGAAAGAAAAATGAGAAGAGAAAAGAAACAAGAAAGGAAGAAATAAAGAACAAACTTACATAGGAATAGTAAAAGGGGGGTTTAATAGAATTGGGTTGTTTTAATTTATTCAGTGAGTCGGCGTTGTAGAATAGGTAAGAGTCAATACCTCTGAAACCTTTGGTGGGACCTCATATTGCTAAATATGCTTATAACTTTTTCTTACTCAAGCAGATGCCCTGACAACTACGCATATCATTGATTGATTGAATTTTCCATCTAAATATCTATGAAGATGAAAAATCCTACTTCAAACATAAGTTGCTGATAATAATTATACCTTCCAGATGTTGAAAATTCTTTAACTTCAGTTGCAACAAGAAGTTATTCTTCTTGGTTTTAAATCTGAAGAAAATTACAGCAGTAGACACAAAAGAATTTGGCAAGGAGGTGAATTGAGCTAGATCGATTTAACATCTGTTCAGATCAACCATTTTGTGGTTAAAATTAAATAAAAAAAGACACTTCACAATGGCATATAGTGGGTATATTCAAACATACACAAAAAACCATGCACCAGCAGATATCCACATGAAGAAAATACTGTAATTATTTCGAGTAAAGTAATTTGTAACAATAATGCAAAATAAGATAATTAAATCAAAGAAAAGAAATAAGATAATTTGGATGTCCTAAACTCCTAGACTTGAAACATACGTAAACTGCTTATGACCAACCAAACTCCCTAATTACCTCAATCATCTGCCCTCTAAACAAGTTTTCTCACTTATCTGAATCTCTTTCCTAAATGATATCTAACCAATGATTGAGAGAGAGAGAGAGAGAGAGCTTGTGATATTAATTACAATGTCAGTTTTTTACACAAGATAGAGGATATTTGTGCCTATCTCCAATATACATGTGAGGTACAGCACATGCAAGTTTGAAAAGAAACTGAAATGCAAGTTTAAATGCGGAAGTGTATGGTGTCATCCCATGACTATGCAGCAAGAAAAGCAACTGTAGGGCTGCCCTTGTAACATATGTTACAAAGACATTGTAATTTTATTAAATAGTTTAAGAACATGTTTGCTGAACAGATGACATGAACCAAAATATGCAATATAATTAATAAACTATGTCAGACTCTTGTAAAAATAAAGACACCCAAAAAAGGACAGCAAGGGAGTGGTGGAAAAAGAAAAGCTGAGCAAGCACTACTCAACAAACAAAACATTATTTAATCGAAATAAGTCAACAATTGTAGACAAGATTGTTAGCCAAAAAGTTAATTGACATGGTATTGCAGCATCTCAAGTGATAAAATATCATTACAATACAATCAAGCATCGTGAGTATGAAATATTCCGGTAAGTAATGTGAGGGCCATATTGATGACAACAACAAAAAAATAAAAACCCAGCATGATTGAATAAAACACACTGTATATACCTCAAAAGTGGCATTTTTTTCCAATACATTGCATCTATATGAACAAGATGGGAGAAAAACAATACAAACCAGCAACAACTAAGAACACATATGCCATGGATCAACAAAACCAAAAGCAAGAGCATTATGTGTTCATCAAATGTGCATGAGATTGCAAGGTTGCCAATATAACAAAATTGTTATAAGAAAGTTGAAAATGACATCCATGTAATGCTTTTCCTCCTTCAGGAAATATATGATGGTGACATTACATCTACTATCCAAACTAAGCTCATACTGTAAGCATAAGTTGAAGAACACAAAAATCAAACACAAACCCAGACAGAATAAATAAATGGACAAACAAGCATTTCTAAAAGTGTCCTACTAGTAAATCTCGTAAAATTTTTATCTATTCATGTGTTTTCTATGTCCGCTTTTGTATTTGGTTTTTGTGTTTCCAAAATTGTTAAAAGTCTGATGCAGCTATCTTACATGAACTCTTCAAAATAAATTAAATATCCGTTTTGGACACATGACACTTGGAAATGGTGTGGGATGTGACACTTGGAAATGGTGTGGGATGTGTCTGATATTTTTCATTAGACACTTCTTATATACTATTTATATTTAACACTATCATTATATGTATATATTGTTGTATAATTGCTATAAAATGAGTTAAAATACCTTTTTAACATTATATGTTACGTGTAACACAATTTTATCTTACATAACAAATTAAAAATATGACTCTTTTCACTGAGTCCACACATTCTTAAATTTGAGGTTCGATGAGTCTAAACTTTAGATATGCACCTGTACCGGACACATGTTCCCGAGTCCATCTAATATAAGAAAGCAGCACAATACAAGAAGGATGAATCTCCCATTTAACATGTTCCCGAGTCCATCTAACATAAGGAAGCAGTACAAAACAAGAAGGATGAAACTCCCATTTAACTTCTGGTTGATGATGAACCTAACTAAACAAAGCATAGAAATCAAACCAGAAAGGAAATAACAGATTTGATGTATTGAGTACAATGGTTGGAACTATGAACATGAAATCAATATTGTACCAGTTAGTAAAGAAATGAAAGAACATATATTTAACAAAAAAGAAAGAAAAGAAAGAAAAAAAAAGAAAAAAAAAAGGAACGAATATATAATGAATAATTCAAAATGTCTAATCAAAGCGTGAAATAATGTAACATGCAAGACAAAATGGCAGCACAATAAAGATAGGCTCATGCCACAGTACCCGATGATGAATAATACTTTAGACTGTAGATTTGACCTTTAAATAAACAAAACTCTTGATGAACATCAAGGCATGGAAAAGGAATAAAAACCAGAAAAGGAAGCCAAATGCTATACATATACTCAATTAAAAAGATTTTCATTTCATGATCAAAAATGGTTAAAAATTTTTTAAAGATGGTATATTTTAAATTAAAAGACGGTTAGAAATTTTTTAAAGATTATATTAACATGATAATTATAGACGGTTGATTTTAAATTTTCTAAGCAATCTCATGAAATGAAATGGGAATCTCCATTTCATCTATACCATAGAATGGAGAGGATCAAAATCTAGACCTACACTACACAGTTCATAAACAAAAAGACCCATTTCATGATCTATACTTATGACAAATCTACATAAAAAATTCTTGCTTATAAATTTAAAAATAATTAAGTATTGAAACTAACAATGATATTGTTTTCGATATTGATGATGTGCTATCATTCCATTTAAGATAGCACTTTTATAGCAAATGATGATCATCTCCTTGATGATGATGATAAATAAAGACAAATTGAAATGAGGAACAAGAATCTATATCAATACCAAGACATATGTTAATAACAATTAAAATAAGCTCCTACAGCAAAAATTTATAGCAACCCTATTGATAATTAGTAGAGACAAAAGAAGAGAAAATTAGACAACAATGTAGTAATTAATATTCATTTTCAGTCTTTGCCCATATTATCAGTTTATTTGGTTACCATAGCTTGAACCTCCAAGAAATCCTCCACCACCGGGCGCGGCGTAGACGTCGGAGGGGTCGAGAATTGGTGACGACGACGAAGCCCCATTCCTTCCTCCACCACCGCCACCCCCATTACCACCAACACCACCACCCAAATGCAGTTCTGATATATCAGGAAACCCATCTCTTCCTTCTTCCCCTTGATCATATAAAAATCCTTTGAAAACATGTCCACCTATTTTGACAACAGCTTGATATGCATACTCATCTTCACCATCATCAACCGCAGTGACTCGAACACACTTGAACACAGCTGGGGCTCGTAATTGTCCCGGCAATCCCTCTTTAAAACTCGCATCTATGTAAAACAGTTCAACTTGCCCAATTCAATACAAAACATAAAATACATAGATTTACACATAAATAAATAAATAAGTGTTGGATTTCAAACCTTGGTGACTAGAACTAGTATCGAAGCTTCGAGGAGGAGTGTTGGAAGTGGAAGTATGTGAAGTTGTGGTGGTTTGTGAATTAATGAGTCTAGGTTTCTTAGCACCGGAGGTGGAACCGGAAGACCCGGCGGTGGCGGCGGCTGCAGCAGCCATGAGCTGGCGTTCACGGCGGCGAGAGGCCGGAACCCAAGTGCTCTTGACGTGTGTTGCACAATCAAAACCTCTACTTTTGCAACAAGTTCTACATCTGCGATGAGTACAGTCTTTTTTGGCCTGGTTTCCACAGTCTTGGCATGTGGTGGCGGAGCTCGATGAGGCCGACCCACCACCAATTCCAGTACCAGTCCCTGTGCCAGTTGTTCCAGTCTGAGTTTGCATAAAATTTGACGGACTAGTGTGATCGAGAAACATGGGTTTCTTGAGATAATTCGAGTGTTGTTGTTGCTGCTGCTGCTGCGATTGTTGGTTTTGCCAAAACTGAATTCCACTACTACTTCTACAACGATTGTTGTTGTTCAACACATCTTCATCGGGGAGACACGGCGTGGCGGTGAGGAGAGGGATGACGCCCACTCCGACGCCCAGAGCGGTGGCGGCCGCGGCGTTGGAAGCGTTAATTGCGTGATGATGATGGGGATCGGAGATGATGGGTTCATTGCTGTTGTTGTTGTTGTTGTTGTGGTGGTGGTGGAACGATGAGGCGGGCGCCACAACAAACACGTCTCGGAGACCCACCATCCCCATCTCTGGCGGAAGGCCGTAATTGATTTGATGGTGGCGTGTGGTGGCGGAAGACCACATTCCGCCGCCACCGCCACTGCCTCCACCGGCGGTGGTAGATGCGGATCCACCACCGGCGGTGGGCCCGGCATTGAAGCCGAGGGAAAGGTCTTCAGCAGCTCGGCCAGAGGTAGAAGACGAAGCTACCCAGTCTGCAAAAGCACCAGAATCTGAAGGCAGCCTCCTGGTAGCCACAACTGCAGACTCACTCTGATAACAAATTTCAATTCCAATTCCAATCTTTATATATATCTCTATATATATTTATATATACAGAGAGACAAAACTCTGAAAGAAAATCTTTAAATCTTGGGGAAAAAAAAAATTAACTATTTATGTAGGTGTTATGTAAGTGGGGTCTCTGAAATTCTTTCAGAAGAAAGATTTTTAGAGAGAGAGAGAGAGAGAGAGAGAGAGAGGAGGGGAAGATCTTGTGGGATGACTTTCTCTTTCTTTCTCACTGTGTATATATCTATGTATATATATGTCTCTCTCTCTCTAATTACTACTGTTGGTATACAGAGACTGTTGGGTCTGCTTCTGTTGTTGAGCTACTACTACTACTACTGTCAATTGGCTTTTCTGATGAAAAAGTTTCTTTGAGAGAGAGAGAGAGAGGGGACTACTGAGCTTCTTGGCCAGTGATAACAGAAGGGTGAGAGAGAGAGAGAGTGGAAAAAATGTAATAACGACTCTTCTACCCTTTCCTCTGTATTTTCTCTGCTGTTATCGTTGCCGACCTTTCTCTCTCATCACCATCATCGTCTTCTTCTTCTTCTTCTTCTCTGAGCTTCTTTATCTCCCTCTTCTCTCACTCTCTTGCTTTTTATCTCTCTTGTTTAGAAAGCGAAACTGAGGTGGGTTCCTCTCTACCTCTCACTTGTCTCTCTCTCTCCAATAATAATCTCACTTAACTATAGTTAGGGAAAGGAGGAGTATAAAGACTTTTGTTCTCTAGTTTTTGTAATTTTATCGAGGCCCTAAAGTCACATGACACCTCTCCTTCATTTGGCCAACTTCTCCTCTCCCCTCTCTTCATCTCCTGTAATTTTATCGAGGCCCTAAAGTCACATGACACCTCTCCTTCATTTGGCCAACTTCTCCTCTCCCCTCTCTTCATCTCCTGCACTAATTTTCACTCTTCCAAAAGCGCGTGAACACGTCCTAAAAATGAAAGGATTTAGTTAACACGTCTATAACAGTTCATCAATTCATTCATTAAATTTAAATTTAAATTTAATAAAAAAATAATTTTTTCTTACTTTTTTATTAGATGAATATCAAAAGAAATTTTATCAAATTATATCAAAAGAAATTTTATCAAATTAAGGATGTATGGTACCTTTTATCAGTTCACTGTTTATAATAGTTGGATTTGTGGCACTGAAGGTCTCCGGATGATCACCTCTTTGTAAAAGTTTATAAAAAAATTACACTGATCAATTAATTGACCGCACATCTACCCAATTGGTTGATATTTTGATCTAAGCTCAAAATTCTTCAGTGGAGCACTTGATATCAAATGAAGATTTTAGTCAAATTTAGTGGAAAAAAAAATACATTATTAGAGATGCTCTAACAAATTCTTTTAAGGCCTCATTTAAAAAGTTAGTTATTTTAATTTTTAACTATTTTTAATAAGCTAAAATATTTATATTTGAGAAGAGAGTTAGATTTTTTTGTAATTGAATATTATATTTGTGAAAAAAATGAAATAATTATGAGTTTGATATGATATTTTGGCTCATTTTAGAAAGTGAGTTAAAATCACTTTTCAGTTTTTAACCCACTTTCCTCTCTCACAAAAAAGTCAAAAAGTAATTTTTAATCATCTTCTCAAAACACCTATTTGTCTTATTGACTATTTTAATTTATTTTGCCTCCGTTTGGAAAGTGGGTTGGCTTTTTTTGACTATTTTAATCTGGCTAAAAAGCTTAGTTTGGGAAGGACTTTTTGGCTTTTTTGACCTTTTTTTGTGAGAGAATAGTGTAATGATTATGGGTTGGATGTGATGTTTTGTTTTTTGTGACTAAAATAGCCTATTTTATCTTTTGTGACTAAAATAGCCAAAAAAACCCACTTTAATTCTTCCCAAACAGACTTATATATCTTTTTATAGATTTTAGCAACCCAAAAAAAAACCATTTTTTGCTTCCCAAACAATTGCAAATGAAAAAGAAAGATAGTGTGTGAAATAATTATATTTTAATTATGTTTTTATTTTTTTAATGGTAAACTACCAATATATCATAATAGTTAGATTTAATTTCTATTAAATCTTATTGAAAATAAGTTTTATTAAAATCGTCGCTAAAAATAATTTTGTAAAACTTTTTTTTGTATATAATGCTAAAAATTGACAATTAGTGACTTTTTTGTCACGATTTTTATAAATTGTTGCTAAAACTTACAATTAGTCACATTTTTTTGTGATAAATTTTTCAAATTATCGTTGAAAGTTAAAAATTAGTGACTTTTTGTGATTTTTTAAAATGTTGCTAACTTATAATTAGCGACATTTTTTGTGACAATTTTTCAACTGTCGTTGAAATTAACAATTGGTGACGCTTTTTAATAGTATTTGATAAAAAATGTCATTAGTTCTCGCAGAACCTATTAAACAATAAATCTACCTATTAGGACCTATACGTAAACCTCTCAAATTTTTATATAAATCTGTGCTAGGGACTTCAAATGAATTACCAAATATTCTACCAAACCTCTCACATAAGTGTGAGACTCACACAAATCACATGTGTATGGGTCCTACACCTATTTAAAAGGTTTGATAGAATTTTTAATAATTCATTGAAAGTCTATAATATTTTCTATAAATCTATAAATTAAATGCATAATAAGAGCATTGATTAATAGTATTTAAATTGAATATAGAGAAATGCTAGAGACCCTAAATATTCTATCAAAAGTTTTACCAAATGTCTCACATGGGTGTGGGACCCATACAATGTGGGTCTCATGTGGGTCCCACACCCATGTGAGACATTTGGTAAAACTTTTAGTAGAATTTTTGGGACCTCTAGCATTTTTGTTGAATATATATTACATGATGCATTCCCCCTTGAAAGAAAATTCAATGTACAATGTACATCGTACCTAATCTTAATACAAATTTACATAAATTTTAATAAATTTATATTTAACTTACATAATTTTATGTTAGAGTTACATATATTGCCCACCAAAACATTTCCCTACTTTGCTATTGGATGTACCACATATAACTGCTATGATTTCTAAATGACTGATTTCTTTTCAAGCTGGCTAAAAGGACATTCATTAATAAAATGCATTATAAAATAATCTATATATTTATAAGTTGAATTTTTCGCAAGTGTTAGACCATCTCCAACGCTTCACTAAACTTAGCATCAAATTTAAAATTTGGTGAAAAAGTCACTTTTTTAAACTCCAACAGTTTCACCAAATCGATATCAAATCGAGAATTCACCAAACCTTTCACCAAAATGAGAACATGCGCAGCATTTCACCAAATCACTGTTCCTGACCGTTGGGGGAGATCAACCGGTCAACCAGTCGGTTGACCAACCGGTCGACCACTAAAGGGTTCAAACAGTTCAAAAAAAAAAGTTCAAACAGTTATTAAAAAAAAAAATTTGCCTTATCGGTCAACCGGCCGATCGATCAACCGGCCGATCGACCAACCGGTCGTCCCAGAAAAAGGTTCAGACAATTCACTGAAAAGGTTCAAACAATTCAAAAAAAAAAAATTGCCTTTACCGGTCGACCAACCGGTTATCCCGGCGCAGATTTGATGAAAATTTGATTTGATGAACCATTGGAGCCCTCCGTATTAGAAAGAGAAAAAAGTCACTTTTTTACTCAGATTTGATGAAAATTATGATGAATCGTTGGAGATGCTCTTAAGAGTTTGTTTGGTATCTTTTCAAATAAGTTTAAATAAATGCATTTATTTAAGTCACGTCAATTTATTTTTCTGTATATCTTTTTGTAAAAAGTTAAAAAATATACTTGTTTAGATCATTCTAAACAATTTCTAAATATTAGGTTTAGTTTCTCTCAAATTGTCATCTCAATTTGAAAAAACATTTCTATTTGGTAGACCTATTTTGTGACCGATTATGGTGATCTGAACCGTACATTTTAAGGCTCATGGAGAATATTAATGTAAAAAATAAAGATGATTGGATATCGGTAACTATATGTTTGAATTATATATTTTTTTAATATATCCATATAAAAAAATCAAGATAATTGGATATCGATAATTATATATTTGAATTATAGTTATTTCTAAAAAATAAAAGAGAAATATAATTTTAATAATAGCCATTAATTTTTTGTAATACAAATTTAATTTAGAAGTGGGTTGGCTTTTTGGCTTTTTGGCTTTTTTGGCTATTTTAGCCTGGGCTTAAAAGCTTGGTTTGGTAAGGGCTTTTTGGCTTTTTGGCTTTTTTGAGTTTTTTTGTGAGAGAAGAATGTAATGATTATGGGTTGGATGTGATGTTTTGTTTGTTATGGCTAAAATAGCCTATTTTGTTTTTTGTGGCTAAAATAGCCAAAAAAGCCTCCAACCTCACTTGCCAAACGGAGGCTTAAATATATAGTTACTAAAATCTGATCATCTTGATTTTTTATATGAATATTTTATTCAACAAGTCATAAAAAGTTTGAGTAATGATTCATCCCCCCTTTTCCCCCACCCCCTTTGACCCCCTCTCTCTCTCATTGGTTACCTTTTCTTTTTCTTTTTCTTTTTTTTCCTGCTCCAACAATCACCCCCTGCCACGTGGCAAAGGGGGGTGAGGGGGTGACCCCCAAAAGGGAGTCCCAAGCATTATTCAAAAAGTTAATGATTCCGATTACTGAAAATCAGTTTCAAAATGAATCTACTAAATCTAAACATTTTCCTAAGTTGAGATGTTCAACTTGAGAGAAGTCAAACTCTAAATATAAATTAGAAAGAATTTGAGGCGTTTGGTTTGATAAATGTTTATTTTGTAGACCCTCCATTCATATCATTCATGAAAAAAATTAAGTATATCTGATATTATAATTTTTTTTTTTTGTTTTATAGCTTGTCTTAAAAAAATAGGTGACTTATTATATAAAATAAAATTAAAAAAATTCATATTTTTTAAAACAAATACAATAAAATAAAAGTAGTATGATTAGCAGATTAATTTAATTTTTTTTATAAATAATATATATAAAAAATCTTATAAAATAAACGATACGAATTATTCAAATGAGATTTGTG